CGCACCCCTTGATGTTGCGCCCGCCCCGCGCTCAGCCAGTGAGCGGGAACCGGTCTCCACATGGGATCCGAACCCTCGGCGGGAGCACTGCCACGCTCCCAAGTGGCGCACTCTCCAGTGCGCCACCGGGCCGGCCCGATGCCTTGAACATTTTAAGTGTAGTCTTTGAAAGCCTGTGTCTATTATCTGGGTTCCCTCTGGGTCCAATTTTATTGTCTGTTTTTTCTTTTGGTTTATGGCCATGTGGTCTGTTTTCCTCATATGACTGGTAGTTTTTCATGGGTGATGGACATTCTGTATGAAAAATGGAAGCAGTCATTTGAGTCTGGGTGATAAGTTCAGGTCAGGTTTGAAGCAATTAGAAGCTGCCTCCTGGTCTCTGTGAAGGCAGGTCTGTTTTCTGGGCTGCTGCCCTTCGGGGCGTTTTCTAGGACCCCTTCTTTCCAGTTTTCCCCACCCTCATCCGAGACTGGCAAAAGCCCGGTTCAGCTCCACAGCCTCTCAGATTCCCTGCTGGAGTCAGCAGGTGTTTGTAGGTAGATGAGGCCTGATGCTGGCTTCTTGGCACGCTCTCTTCCCTGCTCTCAGCCCTACGGGACCTCCATAGAGAGGGGCTTTAAATGGCATTCAAACTCCCTCTGACTCAGCATCTTTGCCCATTATCTGTGGCCTGTGTAGGAGTCGGGCACTGAGGAGTGGGTGGGTCACAGGCGGACCCCTGGGGGCGGCACTCACTGCCTGCTCTGTGCTCCTGGCTGGTGTAGAGGCTGCACCCAGGTGGGTGTCCTCAGGGCCCTGACAGAATGCGGCATCCCTGTGGACATGGTCGGAGGGACGTCCATTGGGGCCTTCATGGGTGCCCTGTACTCTGAGGAGCTACAGCCAGATGTGGATCCGGGCCAAGCAGTGGGCCGAGGTAAGCAGGTGCCTTCCACCGTCTCTGACTGCAGCCCCCAGGTCTGTGGTGGTGTCGTGGAGGACATCAGTTATGGTGGGATTGGTCTGGTTTGTCCCTGGGTCTTAACTCATGGAGGTGACTGAGGGAGGATGCAGGGAGTCCAGTGCCATTGAAAGAGGAGCCAACCGTCACCCACATCCCTGAAAACGGGAGGCACAGCTGCAGGGCCCGGGAGGCACCAGGGCTGGTCAGGAGCAGAAAGGAGCAAGTGGAAGGCCTAGGCCAGAGCCTCCACTGGGGTGTCTGCCACAGAGGCAAGGCCAGCCACAGCAAGCCGGGTAGTCAACTGAATAATTTCGTGGGCTTTGGGTCTAGGGCCTGTCCCTAGTGGCAGGGTACTTGGCCCTGGGCTGATGTAGGGCAGGTTTCAACCAATTGGGATGTGACTTAGAGAAGGAGGTGACGAGGTGTGGCTCTGGACCACAGAAAAATGCAAACTACTCTGGCTGTGGTCTGGCCTTGTAATGAATGGATGTCAGGACTGAAATATCAGACACAGAATCAGAGAAAACAGAACAGCTCCCCAGGAGGGGGGCGCGGGTGGCTCCCAGCCCCCAGGCGCGGCTGCAGTTGCCTTTTCAGTGCTGCGCTTGTTTTGTGGGACACAGCGGAGCCCTGGCTGATCCGGGAGTGGGATCAAAAGTATCTGTGTTCTCCCTTTAAAAAGAAAAGAAAATTTGTCATCCTCCGTGCAGCAGAAGCTCTCAGAGCAGGCTTTCTGCTGCACTCACGTGGCCAGCGCTACTGCCTGCTCCCCCAAAGCCCCCAGGGGCACTGCCACCGACTCCCATCTGTTCCAGAAATGTTTCTTTCCCTGTAGGGAGTCGCCTGGTCTCCCCTTAGTGCTGCTCAAAAGAGAGCTGGGACTGACACAGCAGTGACCGCAGGGGACAGTGCACTCCCTTGGCAGGAGGTGCCTTAGAGAGGGTCTAGTCACAGGCCAAGGAGACTGGCTGAGGGCTGGCAGGTGATCCTCTCCCTCCCCATCCCCTGTGGGTCTGGCACTGGGGGACCAGGTGTGGGAATGGTCAAGGTGCTTTGGGCTGTTCCCCTGCCATCCTGAGTATGTGCTAGGCCATGTGCCCGCTGCGCTGTGGTGGTGGTGGGGGGGCCATCTGGTTCCATGGACCCCTCTGGTGCTGGGCAGAGGCCTCCTCAGGAGTGGACTCGGGGCCCTGTTGTCCAGGAGCCCATGTGTTCCCTCACTGAGAGCACAGGCCTTGGGCTCATCTCCCCAGGCGTGTCCTGCGAGTCTGACGCACAGTGGAGCGAGGACCCCTCGCTGTCCCCTCCCCCAAGAAGTCAGAGGCCGGGCTCGAGACCTAGCTCTGGGCTGAGCCAGTCCTGGGTCCCACTCATTGAGGGTTTTGAACCAGCTCCCCACTGGCTAAGAAAGGACGGGCTTCAGGCCCACCCAGAGGGAGCTGCCAAGAGACAGCAGGGCTTGGGCAAGACCCCCTCTGTCCAGGGGGAGAGGGGCTCCTTGGCAGGCCAGTCCTCCTTGGGACCCCGATGGAGTGTTTCCACAGTGGAGTGTCTGGGTGGGGCTTGCTCCCGGCTCACCTGGAGAAATCTACATCTGTGTCTAACTGGTCATCGTGGCCAGATTTGGGGACTTCACATGCTGAGGCAGTGGTCCCTGAGCCGTCCTCCCTGACCCTGTCAGTGGTGGTCCTGTGCTGGGCGTTGCCCCAGCCCCACCTGGGGCTCCCCCTGCTGAGCAGGCAGATCCAACAAGGCCCAGGAGTGAGACCTGCCGGGGGTCAAGAAGGGACAGAGCACGGGGCTATGTCCCAGCTTCCAGGCCCTGGGGGCCTCCACTGGCCTCTGTGCCTGCGCTGGGGCTCCAGCCTACAGCATGCCTACCCCCGAGACCCTGGCAGGCCTGGTCCCTGAGGAGGCTCCTGGACACAGGTGCACACGCCCATGCTCCCCCACTCCAGGCAGGGTCCCACAGGTGGGGGTGTGAGCCCATGTGCAGAGGCCCTGCGTGTGCCCCCAGGACATGACATCGATGGCAGAAGCCATGCTGGACCTGACCTACCCCATCACATCCATGTTCTCCGGAGCCGGCTTCAACAGCAGTGTCTTCAAGGACCGGCAGATCGAGGTGCACCCCCCGGCTCCAGCATGGGCCCCCTTCAGCAGCCCACAGCTGGCCGCGCCTGGCCCGAGTCTCAACACTCAGCTGCCCATGGTGCCCTCCTCATCCCACCGTCCCCCAACATGCACAGCTTGGGCTGGCCCCCCCAGAGGGGTGGGGAAGAGGGGCGAAGGGACCCCTCTGAGCCTGTACCCCCTGCAGGACCTATGGCTCCCCTACTTTGCCATCACAACCGACATCACAGCCTCTGCCATGCGGGTCCACACAGACGGTGAGCACCTCCTCCCACATGGGGGGAGCCATGGGGAGAGCCCCCACTCTGGTCAGCAGTGGTGCGGGGCACACGGTGGTCAAGTTGGGCGTGCAAGGCGTGACCAGGAGGGGAGCCCCATGGCTCCGTGAGGTCAGGGAAGGCACCAGGGTCTTGCAAGGAGGCAAGAGGCACAGGCAAATCTGTGCACAGGGTATAGGATGCTCCTGCATGGACACCACTGCCAGGAGGGGGAGGGACAAGGCCTGGAGAGGAGACCCCCAGAAAGCCAGGTGGGACAGGCTTGGTCGTGGCGGGGTGAAGGGTACACTCAGCGTGTGGCACTGTCAGGTCTAGGACAGGCTGAGATGGGACCCTGACCCCCAGGGCCGGGGCAGGAACCTGCCTTGGAAAGCAAAAGGCTCCTCCTGGCCCCTTTTTCAGCAGGCGACTCTCAGCCCCTCTCCCCCCAGGCTCTCTGTGGAGGTACGTGCGTGCCAGCATGTCCCTGTCGGGCTACATGCCCCCCTTCTGCGACCCCAAAGGTGGACACCTGCTGATGGATGGGGGCTACATCAACAACCTGCCAGGTGCTGCAGGGGCGGGGGGAGCACAGGGCCGCCTCAGCCACACCGCCCGGGGCCCTGCCTCAGCCGCCTCCGCTCTGGGAAGGCCGGGTGGCACACGTTTTCTTTAGAGCGTGCCAAGGGAAAATGTCAGGCTGGCATCAGAGCAGGGCCTGGTACAGCACTGAGAACATGCACACATGTGTGCGCGCACATACACGGGCACAGGCACTGTGTGCCTCTAGCATATGGCTCTGTTTGTTAGCTCAGCAGCACACAGAACAAAGGCCAAGTAGAGGAAGCAGGAGCAATTAAGTCCCATCTGTGTCCACAGTCGGACACTAACTGCCTGCAGGTGTAGGTGAGGCCACACCTGTCACCTGTTGGACATGTGGTCAGAAGGGTCCGGAATACAGTTCTGTGCCTACGGCTGCCCACAGAGCTGGGGCACGTGGCTCTTCTGCCTCCACAGGCCCATGTGACAGTAGAGAGGAGATCCCGTGGTCCCCAGGTCCGGGCCCCAAGGAGCAGGGCTCCCTTAGGGCTCAGCAAGGTGGGCTCTGGCCGCATCCCCTGGCTCTGTGTGCCCATCCCAGTGACCAGGGTTGCCTCCTTCTCTAGCAGATGTAGCCAGGTCCATGGGGGCAAAGGTGGTGATCGCTATTGACGTGGGCAGCCGGGACGAGACGGACCTCACCAACTATGGCGATGCACTGTCTGGGTGGTGGCTTCTGTGGAAACGCTGGAACCCCTTGGCCAAGAAAGTCAAGGTGGGGGTGGTGCCGGGTGGGCTGGGCCACGCCCCTGCCCCTTCGTCCTGCAGCCCCCGCGCCACTCCTTCCATACTGTGGGCAAGGGAGTGGGAGTCCCTCCCAGGTGCCCCCAGTCCAGCGGGTCTGGGGTCACTCACCACACTTGCCCAGGCCCTGGGACCAGCTCTGGGGGAGGGGTGACAAGGAGGACAGGCCCAAAGGCTCCAGAACTCAGAGTGCGCCTTCAGCCCCCGCCCCTCCCCTGCACACTGTTCGAGGACAGGTGGATCTAGGCGGGGTGGGCTGGGGAGGGAGGCGCCAGGGCAGGACACTCAGGCGGCTGCTCCATGCAGGTGCTGAACATGGCGGAAATTCAGACGCGCCTGGCCTACGTGTGCTGCGTGCGGCAGCTAGAGGCGGTGAAGAGCAGCGAGTACTGCGAGTACCTGCGTCCCCCCGTCGATGGCTATGGCACCCTGGACTTTGGCAAGTTCAGTGAGATCTGCGTACGTGTCACCCACTTGCTGCAGGGGGCAGGAGACCCACAGGGGGCCAGTTCTGGTGGCTGTCCCCACCCCAGCCTGCTTCCAACAGCACAGGAAGTGGGGGGCTCCCTCACCTCATAGCGGGGCCTGGGTGTGCACCATGTCGTGCTATGGCAATTGTCGGAATTCTGCTGATGTAGCCAGTTGTATTGCTAGAATTAGGGCCTACAGACCCTTCAAACCCATTGTACAGACTGGGTCACCAGACCCCTCACACGCAGGTCCACGAGCTAGGTAATTGGGAAAGATCCTGGGAGCTGTTGGCAGATTACACAAGCTCAGTCTTCAGCAGCTTGCAGCTGCCTCCCCATGCCCCACCCCCCCCAGGGCATCGCAGGGGCAGGGAGGCACCGTGGATCAGAGCCGCTCGTCCTTTATACTTAAGGCTGATAACCCAGGACACCTGGGCTCACATGCATATTTACGTCAAATGCTCAGCAAGACTGTGAATCTCCGAGGGACCCTGACCATTTTCCTGTATTTCCCCCTTCACACAGGAAGTGGGGTACCAGCATGGACGCACAGTGTTTGACATCTGGGGTCGGAGTGGGGTGCTGGAGAAGATGCTGCAGGACCAGCAGGGGACGAGCAAGATGAAGGCCAGAGCTGTGAGTGCTGTGTGCTGCCCTCTGCCCTTGCTGGCCGCCAGCACAAGGCGCAGGGCCTACAGCTTCAGTCCCCTGACTCTGTTCCCCCAACTCCTGTGGTCTGGCCAGAACACAGGGCAGGCAGTGGCTCTGAGGGGGCCCATCTCCTGATCTCTGCCCCAGCATCCCCCCTGGCTGCACGCCAGTGGACTCCCATGCCCTCCACCCAACTTTGAGGGCTCGAGCACCTCCACAGGCCAGGGCCACAGAGAGGGAAGGGGTTCCCCCCACAGGAGCGGGACAGGGCCTGGCAGGGCCATCCAGGGCTGCCTGGATGGAACGGGCAGAGCTCCCTGTGTGTCCCTCCACCATCCAAGGCGCAATGTGCTTGTCCTCCACTTCCACCCAGTTCCTCACCTGCCCCAACGCCTCCTTTACGGACCTGGCCGAAATTGTATCTCACATCGAGCCCACCAAGGCTGCCATGGTGGATGGTGAGTTGGACGCAGACGCCTGGGGTGTGGGCCTGCGGAGCTGAGGGTGTTTCCACCCAGTTCCTCACCTGCCCCAACGCCTCCTTTACGGACCTGGCCGAAATTGTATCTCGCATCGAGCCCACCAAGGCTGCCATGGTGGATGGTGAGTTGGACGCAGACGCCTGGGGTGTGGGCCTGCGGAGCTGAGGGTGTTGGCGGCAGATGGGCTCCTGATGCTTTGGGACAGGCTGGGCTGGCTCTGTCCCCACCACCCCACAGACCCTTGCCCTCCCCTCCTGCCCTCAGGGAAGTGTCCCACACTTGGGCCCCACTGGCCAGGAAGCTCGGCCAGTGCTCCCCCATTCTGTCAAGACCCCACCGAGCCTCTATCCAGCTCGTTTGACCCCACAGCAATGGGACTGTCACAACCCTGGGCCACCCAGGCCTCTGCCCCTCATTCTCCGCAAACCCCCAACCACACTAAAGACTGGGGTGGGAGCCACTTTTTGCTGCCCACCTGTCTGACCCGCAGCAGAAGGGAGTGAAGCCGCCCATTATGGGAGGCTCGGGGCCAGAAATGGCTGGGTCCAGAGACATCATGCTGAGCTGGGGCCCTGCACCAGGGTTGTCAGCCAGTGGCCCTCCTTGCAGCAATACAGCATGTTCTCTCCTGAAGGCGGACCTGAGAGATGCCCTTGTGGCTGCCCCTGGGCAAGGGCACCCCAGGCACTGTAGGGACTGGACCTGGGCCTAGCACTGCAGCCTCTGTGCATGGAGACATGGTCCGGGGGGCCTGGTTGAGAGGGGTGAGGGGCGTCTGCCTGCCCTTTGTCCTTTTGGAGGCTACATCAAGTGTTGGGCTGGGGTTTGGGGGCACGAGGGGTGACACAGCCAGGCGTGGTGTGCAGCAGGCCAGGTTGCTATGCCTGCCTTTCTGCGTCACCTGCAGCAGATCCTCCAGCGGCCCTGCCCTGGGGGACCGCATGGGGGACCCCTGCCACAGGGGGAGGGGGCCTGTGGCCATGTTCTGCCTCTGAGTTTCAGTAATACTTGGCATGGCCCTTGTCCTCAGGGAGGGGACCAACGTGACCCTCTCCTCTGCTTCAGATGCATCTGACTACCAGACTGAGTACGAGGAGGAGCTCCTTGGTGTTCCCAAGGATGACACGTATGCCGACTTCCAGAGCACCCCGGCCGAGCCGGGCTCTGGCTTGGTGAGCTGCTCTGAGGGCCCTAAGCAGGGCCTGCCCTTGGACTCCTGGCTCTGGGCTGGCTGCCCCCTCCTGCAACCCTCCACGTTCTAGCGATGCCGCACCACCGGGAACCCCAGCCCGGGGTCAGCCCTCTGGGATCTGGCTGTCCCGGCTGCTCCTCACCTTGAATGTCTGTGGTTTGCTTCCAGGAGGACCAGCCCTTGCTCCAGCAACAACACCCCAGCCTGGCTTTCCCAGAACCGTCCCAGGGCGCCTCATGCCCCTGGCTCTCTAGCCAGGACGGATAGTGGCTTCTGCTCTGATGCCCCCAGACCCAGCATCATCTGTGGGCCTGTCCCCGAGACTGCGGCTCCTGCCAACTCCTGGGAGGCCTCCTCACCAGCCCTGCCCTCAAGAGCAGGCGGGAAGGTCCCAGGGCCAGCTGCCAGTGTGTCCATCGTCCCTCTGGGGCCCTGTGCGGCACTAGGGAGTCTTTGGGCCTCTTCTGTGCACTGGACCCCCCCCAGCAGTTCTGGGGGGCTGTGCATGCCCCTGTGAACCCCCTGGAAGCCTCTGTGATGCCGCTGCTTGCCTTGTAATAAAGATGTTGACGGTGTGTCAGACATGTTGTCCCTGGTGCCAAGGTCACTGTGGCAGACAGAGCACCACCAGGAAGTGCCTGAAGTGTGGCGCGTGGGGGGTGGCCTGACCTCCTTCCAGGACCCCTCTGCTGGGAGACCCCAGGGTGCCAACCTCAGGCCAGGCAGGCGGGGCGCCCATGTCTGGAGGGAACTGGGTTCCCCCTAAAGCCAAGACACGCCCCGAGTCCCTCAGGCCTGGTGGTTCCCCTGTTCCAGGTCCCAGGTCGCCTACAAAAGGACGAAGAAGCGCCGCCCTGGGTCCCCACGGTCCCCGCGCAGCCGTACTGAGGGCCCGGGGCTGAGGAGGCCACCCGCCTCAGTTTCCCGGCCCGGGGCCGCGCGCGGGGGCGGAGCCAGGCGGGCCGGCCGCGCGTGACGTCACGGCGGGG